CCCCTGCCCGTCTTACCTCAGGCCATGTGTTGTATCCGTACCTACCTACCTACCTTACTCTGCACATACCTGCCTATGTGACAGAGGCTTTTCTGATTACCTACCTACCAATGGTTACAAACCTACCTACGTCTTTGCCTGCCTGCCTTACCTCACCTTACCCTCCCCTATCTGTCTGTCGTCACTACCCCAATCCCGTCTTAGTCGTTTCCATGTACACACACGCGCGCGCACACACATATCCCCATATATCACAACCCCCGGTTTCCTTTGAGCCGTGCCTGAAGTACCGGCACCAATTTCAACACCGACACCAACTGGTCTGCATCCCACCCGACCCGGCCGTCGTTCGCCGGCCGTAGCGTGGAGCGTCGTCCAGGGCATTCGACTTGCGGCCTCTCACAGAGGGAGAGTGTGTGAGAGAAAGCGAGAGTGGTTCAGAGAAAGAGGTGTGTGTGTGCGTGTGAGAGCGTCCAGTATGGGGGTGTGTGTGGTGTGTCCAGGCCCAAGTCCAGTGGTGTCCTCTCATCTCTCTCTCTGCCTTCTCCTCTCTCTCTCTCTCCCTCTCTCTGGCTGTCTCCTTGTACCCAGGGTACCTCGTCTCTCACTCCTCCCACTTTCACTCCCACTAGCCCCCCTCCCCCCCTTGTATTGTCTACTTGCAGGGTTCCGCCGTCTACATGTACATCAGCCCCTTGAGGCCTGTGTACTCTGTACTGTACTTTGCTCGCTTTACCATGCCATACACCTCACCTTAGTGCTCCATTCGACTCCCCATGTCCCTTATTCTCCTTCTCCTCCACCATTACCACCACCAGACACCACACACCTCCTCTCCTCCTCCACGCCCTGCCTCACCAAGCCCGCTTTCTCTTCTTTTTTTTTTTTCCTTCTTGCGCCTTCCTTTTATTTGAACGCCCGTCACGCCGTCCGCGCTTTTTCTAACCCTCCTTTTCCCATTAGATGGCCGCTGTCTCCAAGACTTCCCGACCTCCGAACCACGAGCCACAGTCTAACGAGGCCAACCTGCAACCTCGTTCACGCACCACCACCACCAGCGCCAACCCCAACCCTACCACCACCACTACCAACACTACTACTACTACTCCTCAATCATCTGCTGCTGCCACTGCTGCTGCTGCCGCTACCACCACCTCCTCCACCACCACCACCAACACCAACACTACATCATCATCGACCGATCCCTACCACGCTGTCCCCGTCTCTTCGGTCAATCGCCCGCATTACCGTTCTCACCACCACTCGCCATCAATCAGTTCTTTGCAAAAGCTGCAACGTTCTGGCGGTCTGTTTGGCTTCGCTGCTGCAGCCTTTGACAAGACCCAATCCGCTCTCGCGACCTTCTCCTCAGACCAGTCTGTACGCCAGCGCGCCTCCAGTTCCGCATTAGGCAGGGCCTCTTTCACCCCCGACTCGGCTTCCGACGCTGCCAGTATTGGCCCGACAGACAAATACCCACGATACAGGAGTCCCTCCAACTACTCGTCGTCGTCGACCAGCACTCTCAACCACCCAGAGGGCAAGTATCCAAGCCAGTTGTCGCTGGTCCAGGATCCACCCTCTCAACCCTACAGCGAAACCGACCCCAACAGGCCTCTGCCCATTCGGCTGCCGAATATCGAGAGCAAGATGCATCAAACATCGTCGCGGCTCCTCCGCATGACGGACGATGACCGCCCATTCACAAAGGTTAGTTACTCACCCGGACGCATTGCCTGCGAAACCCCTCCTCCCAAGCCTGATCACCACCCGCGCCTCTGCCCCGCCCACGGGCCCTGCATCAATCGTTGCGCTAATACACGCAATCTGCAGGACTTCAAGGATCTCTTCTCGACCCTGATTGTCAGTCTCTTGCTTTTGTCCGCCCACCGAGTGCGATTGACGAGAGTGGAAAACACCTTTCTGTCCGAAGATGCGATCAACAACCTGGGTTCCCTCAAGTTCTCCCAATCCAACAGAATGCCCGACCCCAAGGACCCCTCCAGGATAGTGACGACCACGACGACAACGACCTTCTCCATGGCCAAGGACATGGCCCGCTCCATTTGCCAAAAGTTCCTCGAGGCGAGGTTCATCGAGTCGGCCGACGGAAAGTACCAGCAGGTGTACAACATGAAGGGCTCCGTGTGGCAATTGACTCCCAAGGGCGTCACCGTGCTCGACCGCTTCTGCTCCCGCAACGGCATCCAGCAAAAGTCCATTTCCGACTTGGTCGGCGCCACGCTATCGCAATTGGTCATTCTCGAGAGGGACGGCCAGACTGACAAGCTCATCACAGACCGTGGCACCATCGAGGTCATCTTCAGGAGATTTATCGGCGCACACGGCCCCAACGTCAAGTCAAGCGTCAGCTCAGCCGACTCTGACTCTTTGAGCGATTACAAGGATGGTCTTACCGGTGTCAAGATGGCTAGCGAGCGCAAGGTCAACGGCAAGACATACAAGGACACCTTCACCGGCAAGGCTGCCACTGACTGGCTGATGGACTGCTGTACAACCGTGGACCGCCGGGAGACGTACGACATTGCGTCTTTGTTCGTGGAGTACGACCTCATTGAACCCGTGGTACAGGATCGGGCACACATGGCACAGTACCCGAGCAACAACCTGTTCCAACCCACCAAGCACTCCGTCTACCAATTGACGGCCAAGGGCAAGGATCTCATTAACGGTATCGGCGTGAGAGGACGGACATCGGAGAGCGAAGCCGCCACGCCGGCTTCTTCTCGCAACGTCATTGCGAGAGACTCCAACACCCAGAGATTGGACAAGATCCTCAACGACGCTGCCCTGCGTCTGCTGTTCAGGGAAAATCTGAGAGAAACGCACTGCGAGGAGAACCTGTCTTTCTACCTGGACGTCGACGACTTCGTCCGCAGCTGCCGACAAGCGATCAGGGTCGCCCAGAAGAACCCGAATGCGAACTCGATGGACGGCATCAAGGAGATCATGGCGCAGGCCTATGGGATTTATAATGCATTCCTCGCCCCCGGATCTCCCTGCGAGTTGAACATTGATCATCAACTTCGCAACAACCTGGCCACTCGCATGACCAAGGCCGTTGGCCAAGACGTCGCCATGATTGATACTCTGCAAGAAGTCATGTCCCTGTTTGAGGATGCGCAAAATGCTGTTTTCAAGTTGATGGCTAGCGTAAGTTCATTCCTTTCACAACTCAACCCGGCATGTTTGGCCCGATGACTAACCCCACTTTGTTACAGGACTCGGTGCCCAAATTCCTGAGGAGCCCCAAATACGAGCACACTCTGAAGAACTACGACTTTGACTCAGTCGGCGGCCGTGGTGTAGAACGCAGCACGAGCCGATCGAACCGCAAATAAACCATGTTCCGGACTGTCAGTAACGGCCTACACCGCAACGAACCGACTGAGTGACGGCGATATTTTCTGCACATCTCGCATTGCGATTCGAATGATATGCACGCTTAGAATCTCGCCTCGTCGATTCTGGTTGCGCAGGCCCCCCCGATGGCATTTACGGCACTTTACCCACAAACCATAATCTTGTGCATACATACATGGTGGTCTTTGATTCATTACCAGGCGGTGGGCAGGATCTTTTGCTTTTCTCGGAGAGGCCCGAGCAGGGCCGATCTTCTGCCATCTGGATTCTTTTGGAAATGACGGCGTTGGGGACGGACAATATTCTTAGAAGGAGAGACCCCATGAGTCGGCGAAACTGATTCCGCGGAACATGATCACGTCATCATCATCACATGCGGATTTCACTTTTGTTACCAATTTTTTTTTTTTTTTTTTAATTTTTTTTCATCTTGTCTTGAATCATAGCTGGCTGGCGGGGCGGATGATCATAGAAGGACGGCATGGAAGCACGAATCTCGACCACGATCCGCGAGACGAAGCTACAGGCGACCAACGAACGATTATTGTTGGCGTGAGAGTGGAGGACGAGGCGAAAGGCCCGCCCGGATGCCCTCGGTTGGCACGCCGGGATGTGACAAACACGTGGGAACATGACGAGAAGAGAACGATGAGAGAAAAAGTGAGCGGCTGCTGTGGGACGGACAAACCAAAGGGGAAAAGCAAAATAAGGGAGGAGGAGCGGTCGTCGAGCGGCCTGACTCAACTGTACATATCTCAGCGCTTCCCGACCCGGGTCGGGGAAAGCCGCTCAACTCTTCGACATACCCTGAATGAGAGAAAGCAGATGAAAGTGGTATTCAAAACCGGTCCCTTGGGAATGTGCGTTTGATGAGCTGTGAAGAGCCTCGAATCGGGAAAAGCATGACCGTTTGTTTACTTTGATGCCGTTATGGTTAAAACGTCTCACCGGCGGCCCTCTTGCCCCTGACGTCTGGAATGCGCCACATTTCCGGCGGCCGGTTCTCACATTCTTGGCGCCGCGGCGGCCACAACAAACACGGGACCCGGGAGGTCCACCGACATTCCGGCCCGTCATCTCGCGGGACCCCATTGGATGGAAGGCTTCTGTCTCAGTGTAGGTCGGGCATCGTTCTAATCTCGTTCTGTTCCTCAGTGTCTCTCATCGCTCGAGCTCGTCAGTCAAGGCGCCCCCCTGAACGTGGTTGGAAGCCTGCCAAGGCGTGTGAGGGAGAGGCAGCATAAAGAGAGGCCGATTCTTCAGCTTGACGATGTTCTGTCCTTCCTCAACTCACACACACACTCACCAACAGTCGACAACCACAGGCTTTCGTTTGTCTGTCCTCGTTTTCCCTCCCCCTCCCTCCTTTTTGCTTTTCTGGTTTCCATCTGGCCCTAGTCACTCACTTAATAAACCAACCACACTCACTCAAAACCAACTACAACCCGCAAGGCGCAACTCACACACATCTCCTTAAGAGTCTTATAATCTCATCGTCGTCCACTCACCACCTCACACAAGCTCGACAGACTCTCACACGTTCCTTTCCACTCGCCTTTCCCGTCCACTCCTTTGGCATCATCAAAACAACGACAACAACAGGTTCATCAATCAAAATGCAGATCCAATCCGTCCTCGTCACCATCGGCGCCCTCGCCGCCACGGCCGCCGCCAAGCCCAACCACCTCCCCTTCAAGCACAAGGACGGCAACCTCGCCATCGTCAACGGCACCATCGTCACCCTGACCCGCGTCCACCAGCAGGTCGAGACCTGGTGCCCCGAGCCCACCACCCTGTACTTCAACAACCGCACCTACAAGATCGACAAGCCCACCACCTTCAAGATCCCCGACTGCCCCTGCACCGAGATCTACGTGAGTTTCTCTCTTCCCTGTACTTCTCGCCTGTTTTCAATGACTTACAAACTCTTGCTTGCTAGACCACCAACTACGACCACGGCTACTACCCCACCGGCGTCGTCCCTCCCGCCCCCGCTCCCCCGGTCGAGACCGGCGTCCCCGGCACCGAGTGCGGCGGCAGCCCCTGCCCGGGCCCCGCGCCCACTGGCCCCGCGGTTCCTCCCCAGGTTCCCGGCCAGTCTGGCGCCCCCGGCCCTGCTCCCAGCGCTCCTGCCGTTCCCGGTACACCTGGCACTCCCAGCACTCCCGGCACCCCTGCCACCCCCGGTGGTGAGGGCGGTGATGCTGGCAACGGCGGCAACGGTGGAAATGGAGGCAACGGCGGAAACGGAGGCAACGGTGGCAACGGCGGCAATGGAGGAAACGGCGGCAACGGAGGCAACGGCGGCAACGGCACCCCCGGTTCCCCTGGCACCCCGGGTACTCCTGGCACTCCTGGCACTCCCGGTACCCCCGGTACCCCCGGCACCCCCGGCGGCTCTGGCGGTGCTGGCAACGGTACCGAGTGCGGCGGCGCCCCCTGCCCCACACACGTCGTCGTCGCCGGCGCCGAGAAGCAGGCTGCCCTCGCCGGCTCCCTGGCCCTCATCGCCGGTGCCGTCGCCGTCTTCGCTCTGTAAACGGGGCAGCCCTCTTCCACACCCACCAATCTCCCCATCCTCCGTTCGTCAAATTCAATCAACCTTTTTCCACTCCTCACATCAACATCGCCTTCGTTTTCGTGTGTTCTCATGGCCTTGACTGAGAAAACTGGGAGAGCGACTCAATCCACAACACAGCAGACATGTATGAAAAACAACGGTGTCTGACGGGCAGGCAAAGAGGGCTGTGTGGGCATCGAAGCCAGTGTCCCAATGCGCTCCTGCGCCTTCTGTCACCACACCCCCCTTGCCAACCACCCGTCACACCTTGTTCTCCATCCTCTCGTCGGCTGCCGAATCTCTTCATTCCTCTCGGACATCCCAACGATACGAAACGTGTTCATGTGTGGACGGCGACGAACAAGGAACATTGCCTGACGACACGAAGCGGTGGTTGTTCATCACCAACATCATCATCATTCTTATCTGCATTCTGGATTTCCATCTTCACGTCCTGTTTTGTTGTTCATTTTTAATGTCACCCTTTTTTATGACGCCGATATGCCCAGAGATGAGCAGACATAGACGGGGGGGAACGCGGTTGGTTCCTCAGCAGCAAAAGGGGAGGAAGGAGAAACGTTACTGTTTAGAGAGAGGTGCGTAGAGCAGAGACAGACAGGCGGCCTCGCTAGAACCCGGGAGAAAAACTGGGGGATGGGCGTTTGGCCGCAGCAGTGGATGAAAGGAGACGTTTTTTTTTCCCTTTGTAAAGAATCACCCGCGCGTGTTTCCCAAAGGAGGGGGAAGGGGGGGCTTTTGCTTCCTGGCTTTGTCTCTTGAGTTTTTTGTTGTTGTCGAGTATTATTTACTACCTATACCTAATACACACACATTTCAAATCAAATACTTGCTTTGTTTGGTGACGATAGCTTTGTTGAGGGAATGCAAATACTTACCCAAGGTCTGATACTACTACTTACTACCTTTAGTGAAAGGGACTTCCAGACGGCAGGTGGCAGGGATTTGTCTTGCTGAAGAAGTGTTTCTGGTTCATCGACTAGAGTATTCAACCAAAGTACAGTACGAAGCTGGGAAATAGCAAGGTGCTTGTTGGTTGCATCGAGGTCACACTGGCGGTGGGATGCATAACATGCCATTGGACAATCCGACCCCCGGGTTGCCAATCACGGAAAGCTGCTGTGCCGCACCGATGCACACGATCACTTATATGACGTGGTGGATGAAGCGACAGAGAGATGGAGATTGGCCAATAGATTTTGCTAGGTATTTTGGAAGTAAAGGGGGTATCAACTAAGAAACGCACGTAGGCCACATCAAATGACTGGTAACACACATAAAAAAAATGACAGATCAAGGACCGGCTGGAAGCGTTGCGACTTGCGGCTCATTCCTGCTCGGCTACAAAGGGTCCTGTCTGTTGCCGTTTTGCGTCACCGCCAGAGAGGCCTGCTGCATAGGGCGACGAGTTCGAGTGCGACGGCGGCTTTACTTCGTACGGATTGGTGGCGAAGTCAGAATAGTCGGAGTGGGCGTAGCAGTTGTTGTTGCTCAAGGCGCCGGGTTGCGACTTTGCCGGCGCTCCCCTGGAGACTTGACGGATGTGGAGTGGTCTTGGATATGCGTTCTGAAATGGGTTCTGGGCACCATCGTTGGGTGGCGGCGGCGGCGGCAAGGATTTGTTATATGATGGCCTAATTGGGAGGTTCATCTGGTTCCCGAGCGTCGCATAGCTCGCGACGGGATGGTTGGGTGCCGGAGGCATCTGTGGTGGGCTGTTGGAACGGTAGTTGGAGACATAAGACCCGTGCAGGGAGTTCTGGCTGTGGTGACGTGCATGCGTGGACGCCGGGTGGTAAGAGGTGAAGGGCGCAGGAGAAGCCTGCTGCTGCTGCTGCATCTTGAATTTGATGCGCTCGACTAATTGGCCGTGGCTTTTCTTGAGCGTCTTCTTGACGAAGGATGTGGTAAAGACGTTGCAGCGCATGTCAACGTCTTCGCGCAGGTACAGGCCGGTCAGCGGGGCGCCGATGCCGAGCTCGACGGGTTCGATGGGTTCGCCCGGGAGCGAGCCGGCCACGGTCCACTTATCCCGGATCTCCAGACCCATCGGGGCGTAACAGTGGGTCTGCAGGCCGGTGGGCAGGTCGTGAAAAGCGCAGGTGTAGCTAACGTCGCCCGTGGCTAAACCGCCGGGCAGGTAGGAGATCTCGTCGGTGAGCGAGTACCAGACGCAAGAATGCTCTTCGGGAGGGGCGTGGGCGGGTGGCTTGATAACGTGGCGTTCCTTGATGAGAGGATTCAGGTCGATCATGTCCAGGTGGTTGTGGAGGAAGTCCAGGACGGCCTCGCGGCTTATGCCGGTGGGCAGGGGAGAGATTGTGGTGAAAGTCGTGCGTTTTGACATGGTGGTCGTGTTGAGGAAGGTGAGGGCTCGGTGGGAGATGAGTTGGGTCAGGATCGGATGGCTGGCTAGACCATGCAACAAAACCAAGTTTGGATACCTTACGGTAAGTGTATTGGGGAGGTAGGTACTTTGGAGGGCGGGAGGGATGGGAGGTGAGTTTAAGGTTGTAAGGTTCGGGTGAACGGCCGCTTTCCTTGGGATGGAACAAGATTTCAGGAGCAGCAAATCTTGAAGGGGATAGTTTGCCAATCGGGAAACTGGGATGGTTATCAATGACGAAACGAGCTGTCAATGTTGCTGCTAGCGAGGTCGGGGGACGGTGAAGCAAGCGTGCGTTTGTGGTTCGGAGGCAGTGCCCAGGTAGGTTGCCTGTAGGATCTACGGCCGGGGGACGGAGGACGAAGGCGCAGAGGGAGGAGCTTCCCCCCGGGTCAGCAGCAAGCCGCGGGGCGTAGCGCTGGTAGTGGCGTCGTCGCGCGGTGAAGCCGATTTAGCCCCCAGTGGAGGTGTCCCTGCCGGAAGCTGAAGAAGCCGGACTGAGAGCCTGGGAAGGGAATCTTAGCACCTGTAGAAAGGTAGGTAGGTAAGGGTAAGGTAAGGTAAGGTAAAACGAGAAAGGATTGCTGCTGGGGTGGTGTTGTTTAAACCATGGAAGATAGGCCGCTCTCTTTTGAAATAAGTTGCAAGGTGGATAGCGAGAAAAGGAGCGCGCAAAGCAAGCTGGAGACAGGGGTGGTGAAAAGGGAATGAAGAGGAAGAGATGCCAGTCTGCCTTAAGTTAGTTTTCGTCGTCGTGCTCGTTTCCGAAGGGGGCCCGTCAGGCGTGCTGTTGAGGAATGACAGGATCGAGTTCACTGGCTCGCTCGGGTGACGCTGAGTGACGCTGGGCGCCGGCGGCCGCCTCCCCTCCCCCCCCCCCCCCCCCCCCCCCCCCCCCCAATCCCAAGGCACCAGCCAGCCAGTTCCAGGTTCCCAGGGCCGCTGCTGCAGGCGTCTGTCCAGGGTTCGGTTAACGTAAATGGATGTCCTTGGTCCGGATTGGTTGTCAAGACGGTAATGCATGGCTCTTTTCCTCTATCTTGGCTTTTTGCTTTTGGGACTGTCCCGGGCACCTTGATTCCCCGAATGGGTTTGTTTCCTGTGTCTTTCCAAGACGGGGACGGGAACAATAGCAAACTTTGGAGGCTCAACAATGCGATCGGTACGGCACTGCGGCCTCCACAGGCCTTGGTCTTGGTCTCGGTCTTGGTCTTGGGCGGTCGGCTACCTCTACGATTGGCTGCGCAGGCCCGGCAGTCGCTCGATGGTCACTGGAGCAGCTTAGTGAGTGTCCTTGGTGCCCTCCATCAGCAGCGGAGACACACGGGCGGAATCAAGGCCGCAACGTGGCGGCGGCCGCCATGTCTGGTGGGTCACGCTGCCAGCTCCACTGGTGTGGCATGCTGGAGCCGATTCCGACAACCGCCATTGGGTCCATCGTTTACCACCCAAGACCGCCCCGCGATCCCACTAGGCCTGAACCTCTCCAAGCTGAGATGCATGCCCACGCTGCACTTAAATCTCTCCAGTGCCCCCCCCCCGGCCCGATGCTGGAGACGCGCTTTTACGAGCTGAAGGAGAACAGAAACAAGTCCCCAGAATGGTGCAGAGGCATGCGGACATGAACCCGCCGACGCCTCCAACATACGAATACCTACTTTGAGTCCAACAAGTGTGTCCGGGCTGCAAAAGTACCGTGTCCGTGTTTGCCTGCTGAGCACCATGACTTACACCAACCAACCAACCAACCCACCAAACCCCTTGGCGCATGCCCCCAAAACGTCGACTCGTAAAAGCCTGTCGGCCGCCGCCATCATTTCTGCATCAAATGTCTCTCAACCTCCTGGCGGCCGCTGTCATCCCATCTCATCGGGGGAGGCGGGCAGGCAAAAGAGCACACCGAAAGTCTCAGAAGAAACACCCCGCCTCGAGAGCGTCACATTCGTTCATGCCCATCTGTTGGCTGTGCGATTGCTGGGTAACATGACGCAGCATGGTCCTATTTCAAGGTGCTTCCAAACCGCCTTCTCCCGAGACCCTCTGCCGGGGGCTGATGGCTCGTCGTCGTCGATCACTCGTTTCACGACATGTGGCCTCCTTCCTAACCCTCGAGGATCGCTGCCTCCGTTCATCCGTCACCCCAGTTCAAAAATAAAGAGGGGGAGGAGATTCGCTGCCCATCTCCCCTTCTCCCCCCAATCGAGATCCCTAGCAACACGTGGATAACGTGCGTGAGAGCAAACCTGTTCAGGGCCAGGGTCTCCTTTAACTCCTAGTCCCTCCCCTCCCTCTCTCGTAAACTCCTAGCGCATTCACGGGTATCATTACCTATTTGCTTTTGAGTGCTGACTGAGATGCAACGTGCTGCGGATAGTTCGGCTGCAGTAACCAAAAGTCAAAGAGGCTTTTGACGCCGCCATGAATCTCACGATGGGCCTTACGCACACTAAATTATCAACTGATTTGCGCGGGAGAAAACAGGCCATATCCCACACTAGGTAGGATAGCTAGCACAAGCACCTACGCGTGCGCTCTGTGGCTCTAAACAAACGTCCGCAGTCTCGTAGCGTCTTTC